TATATATATATATATATATCATTAGAAATATCTTGCTACAAACTCTTTATCAAATTTCCAATAGGAGCAGATGAACGGTTAAATCTAGATATTGTCCCGAAAACGAGTAAAAAACAAAACCAAACCACAAACAACAGAAGCACCCGAAGCAGAGGGACACGGGGGGCACTCGTCTCACAGGGCAGGACCTTTTAAAGCGAGAGGATCGGGCCGACATTCGGCGATATGGCGCTCGTTATTTTTGATAGACTTTCACAAAGGTTTTTAGGACAAATTTTAATTCGTTTGGCCTTCAGCTCTTTCTTCTTCCAGATCATGTGCTTCCTTTTTGGCCTCCCCTTCCTTTCCCTCCTGTCTGGAAGCGGGGAATTTGTCCTTGTTGTTCTCTTTTTTCCATTTCATCCGCCTGTTCTGAAACCAGATCTTTACCTGCCTCTCGGTGAGTCCTAGTGCGTGGGACACTTCTATCCTTCTCTTCCTGGTCAGATAGGGGTTAAAAAGGAACTCCTTTTCCAGCTCTAGAGTCTGGAATCGGCTGTATGTTTGTCTTCCTCTCCTCCTACCAGGCGCTGCTGTTTAAAACAAAAACACAGGATTTTGGTGGTTGCTGTTGCCGTTCAAAACAAGGCGTTCAGCAGAGGAGCCAGAGAGAGAGGGCTCAGGTCCCTCTAGAAATCCCTCGAGACAAGCGGCACAGAAAACGAGGGGAAAAAACAGAGGACATGGAGAAAGCTAGAGACATAAACACGCGTGCAGAAAAAAAATGAATAGTTATGGCTATAGCAGCTGCATTAAGCGCCTCCGCGCTCACCCTGCGTCGGAGTTTACGGGACCAAGTTTACGGGGTCACTTTATTATCTGGTAACTGGCACCCCCCCGGCCCTGCAGCATTTCTATTCAATCACAGAGGGTTAGGATCTGGGTGCACGTCAGCTACGCCTGGGCGTCTGAAAGGCTAGTTTAAGGCTACTCGTGGTGTGGCAGCCGCCTTCTGCAGAGATTTCTGTTTGCTTACTGTATTATTTTATTATCACGAGCCATCGCGGTTATATGACACGCGGAGAGAGAGGCAGGGAGAGCGGGAAGCAGAGGGAGAGAGCGGGAGGCACAGAGAAAGAAGCAGGAGGAGGAAAGAAAGTTTCAAACTCAGACGTGAGATGGAAGCAAATTTTTGACTGCATCCAACCTTGTGGTCTCATCCAGGGAAACATTTGAGCAGGAGACGAGCTCTGATTTAAGTGGTCTGGTTCCTCGCCAATATTAGCACTGGACGATTTACAGTCAGGATATTGTACCAGCTCGGCCTCTTGCTGTGTCGTAAAAATCTGCTGTCTCTGTAAGTTATCGTATCCGTAAAATTTAGCGGGCTCCCCGTGACAGGTAACCCCGCTGCAGGGGGCAGGAGGCGGAGGCGCG